AAAAAGAGATTAGTATTCATCTGTTATCATTGAATTGAATTTCATATATAACAGTAAAATCAAACACTCATTATTTATTTTTATATCACACACATATCAAAGATACTTTTACATACTTCACGTTACATAAATTTATACAATAATTATTATACAAGTATTGGTAAAATTATAAAAAAAATGATAAAATGACATTTCTGAAAATGGGGATTTCTGACGATACAATGTTAGAGATAACCTCCAAAATGCGCGATAAACTTTAAACACGTGTTTTTCTAGAAACGTAAAAAAATGTTATACAAACTAAAATATAAAACTGATGTAATATAATAATACGTGTATTAAAGCAGACGTTAATGATGGCTGTCTATTTTTGGAAAATAATACTTTCAACGACAGCGAACTATTCAAATTGACACTACGAGGCTACCTTAGCTTCCTTCGTAAACTCATGTGCGTTTTGACATACTTGACATGCGCTCGACTTTCGCTGTAAATTCTACAGAGAATAATTGAGAGTTTTTAATTCGATATTCGTTTAAATTAATATCAGTTGTTTGCATTTGCAACATACGAGGGTCGTCTGAAAAGTTTTGAATCTAACATAGAAACAACTAATTTTTCGATCAAATTCAATTTTATTTTTCCATATAGTCTCCTTTTAAGTCGATACATTTTTCCAGCGATGCTCCCACCCCTTTAATCCATTCAAATAATACTGAGCGTCTTGCTTTGCAAAATAGGCGTCTACAGATGCGATGACCTCGTTCGATGAAAATTTCTGTCCTCCGAGCCAAACTTTGAGCCTAGGAAATAGAAAACAGTCGCTGGGGGCCAGATCTGGTGAATACGGTGGATGGTCAATTAATTCGAACCGCAATTCGTGAATTTTTACCATGGCGACTGCTGATTTTTTCCATTTTTACAAAAACATTGACATTGACTGGCACAAATGACTGTCAAACAACAACTAAGTGCCGGAAGTAGCTACAATTTTCGCAGGTATCTTTCAAAGTATGTACGATTATAGTACTAAAATTGTTTTGACGAGTAATACCATCTTCATGTTGAGGCTCAAAACTTTTCAGACGATATTGCGATTCGCCGATTTTTGTTTTTCATAGCAAGAATCAGTTGAATCGTAATAAATTTATTCATATTTTATAAATAAACGGAAAAATACGATTTTTAAATGTTAAAAATTAAAATAGCATTATAAGCCTTATTTTTGATCAAAATTTAATCGACTTATATTAATTAATTGGTGACAACTTTATCGTAAAACTTACATTAATAAATTATAGGTAAAAAATATAGTTGAAATAAGTATCAATACGTCGTCAATAAGTACGCTTGATGTTTAGATAAGGTCCTCAATAAATTATAGCTAACGCAAAGTGAAGTCTAAAAAGTGTGCGGCAATTACATCAATTTGTAAAAAAAAACAGTCAAAATAAAATTGTTCATGAAAATAGGAACAAAAAACAAATTTATTTCTGTAGAAAATGGATATGACCGATGCAAATAAAGGAATCAATTATATGTATAGCAGCTATAGGATGAAATAGTGACAATTACGGAAAAAAATCATTTATTAAAGATATACATAATTCTATTATATATAAAAAATTATCTTTTTTCATATGAAAAAAAGTTTAGATTGAAAACAATTATAGTTAAAAATTTTGCTTTGCTGCTGATTGAATCAAATATTAATTTGATCGATTTTTTTTTTAGAATCTATTACAGTTATAGAGTTTTTGAATAAGTTATCCATGACTTATTTAACTGTATTCCATCATGCGCATAATGCAATAAAAAAAAACGTATTATATTTATGTTTAGCATTTCATAATTAAGGCAAATAAAAGATCGTTTCCATAAGTCATTTAGCTTTGTATATATTTTATATTCTTGATTATTAAAAATTAATTTAATTCTAGTCAAGAAAACACGCATATGTCTAAAAAATATCTTTATGCTGTATCTTTATGAAATCTTTTAGGTATGTGTTTTGTTCGAGATAATATGATATTCGTGTGAAACGATAAACTACACTACTACATTTACTGAGAATTCCATTTGATTGAATCAACCAAGAATTTGTTTGTCCATGTCTGCGGTGATGTTTTTTATTGTAAAGGACAGATGTCTTTTAAAAGACAGTCCTTTATTTTAGGTAGCTATCCTTTAGATTTATTTGTATTTTCAAAATTCAATCTTGTTCTTTATTTTCATATAACGGGTCCTTTATTTGTCCTTTATTTTGATATAACGGGAAATTCTTTTCTAACTAGCATTCCAATGTCTAATATTATATTCAAGATCAAATTTTTACGAAAAATATTTTACAGTTTCATGCATATAAATACGATATGTTTTTGTTAATTATATTTCTTAATTTTTTAAATTAAATTTATTAAAACTAGAGTTGTTCCCATTTTTTATTACTTCCAACCTTTTATTATTTCAGATCAAGAGTTTGTTCCAATACAGTCGGACCAGTCTCAAATTATCAGAAGACTGCGCATTATCTCAATTTGATTATACTATGCAATAAAATTTTATAATGCACAGATTCTTGACGGTCACAAACTGGTTTGAAAACATTTAGGAACAAAGTCCTAAAATTTTCAGATTTGTCCTTTATTTTCTTTAAGAAAATGGTCATCGTACTCATATCTAAACAAGAGATTAGTTGATTCAACCAAATGGGATTCTTTGCAGTGTATATAATTATTTTTAACGGGAAATTATCGTACATGAGTAAAAAAATGCAATGGAATTATTTGTCTTTATCATTAGAGATTCTTATAAACATGATTGATCTATGCAGCGAAACATAAAATTTTATATCCGCGAGTATTGATTTTTTAATATTCATTTTGGATGGCAGCATTCAATTTTCTAAAGAACGAAATCTGCTCATTGAAAAGATATCAAAATACACACGTAAGTACAACCTTTTTTTTTAGATTTTATAAAATCGAAGAATTGCAGTTCCCAGGAAAATTCACATATCTGTAAAAAAAAAAACACGGTTTTTTTTTATATTCAATAAATCAACAGTCTGAAGTTAGGAACAAATTTTTAATCTGCAAAAAAATCATATTCAACGTTAATTCCAGAATAAATTTTGAAATAAAATAAAAAACAAAATCATAAAAATATTGAAATATGGAGCAGAAATATGAAGAAAAGAAAAAAGTTGTTATCTAATGTATAGTTTTTGTATACATAGTAAAGCGATAGTAACGGCGCACCAATCACGTAACGCCGTCATCTATCTGTCACGCCATTGGACGCACGTAGCTATCGTGATGCGATATAAATAGCCTGGAGCTGGGTTATAAAAAAACACAACCTGCCGAGATATCGTACGCTTCACGTCGTTCTCTAATCGTAAACATGTCTGGTCGTGGCAAAGGTGGCAAAGTTAAGGGAAAGGCGAAATCCCGTTCTAATCGTGCTGGACTGCAGTTCCCCGTTGGACGTATCCACAGGCTTCTGCGAAAAGGAAATTACGCCGAGCGTGTCGGTGCCGGTGCTCCGGTTTACCTGGCTGCCGTGATGGAATACCTCGCTGCGGAAGTATTGGAATTGGCGGGAAACGCCGCTCGCGACAACAAGAAGACCAGAATCATTCCTAGGCATCTACAGCTGGCCATTCGCAATGACGAGGAATTGAACAAGTTGCTCTCTGGCGTTACCATCGCTCAGGGTGGCGTACTGCCGAACATTCAAGCAGTTTTACTGCCAAAGAAAACCGAAAAAAAAGCTTAACTGCAAAAACTACAAACGGTCCTTCTTAGGATCATCAATTTCTTCATGTACAAAGAATATCTCGTTTTTGCAATTCTATTATTGCCTATATCTATTACCTTTATTTAATTATCTAGCTAGTCAACATAAACTATTATATTAAAAGTATTCATATCCTTGTATGTAATATCCTCTAATTGTTTGATCCTTCATAACTACTACTATAAGAAAATTGATTATATAAAAATACATGTAATTCCAAAATGCATAAAGTGTATAATCATATTTCAAAGAACATATGTATTGTTCGAATCTTGAAATTTAGTACTGAAAAATATTCAAACATATTGTAAATTATGGAACAGTGGAATCAATGAGACCTTGAAATATCGCATAACCCTTTTTACCCTTCTGTATGTTAGACGCATGTAAGTGAGGATAGCGGTCCCCATTTTTCAATAGGAGCTTGAATTTCAGATTTATTATAAGTGAAATGGAGGCAACCTTGTTACATTCAAAATCGCGAACTGCGTGTTATTACGATACATTCTGAGATTGTAATGCAATCTGCAGTTTTCCTTTTTATGTTTACTGTGGCACAGAAATACGTCATGTTGTTGTAAAAAAGAATCGATAAAAATGTGTGATATCTGTGATAAATCTTGCTTTATAAAGAGAATATTCTCGGAAAGCTACTATGTACATATGTGCTTAAAAAAAACTCACATAAAAAAAATAACGTTTTATACAAATATAAGTATTTATATTTTATACATATAAATATATTTTTATCATTTTACATTTTTAAAGTATAACAAGATTATAATCTACATTACTATCTTATTTTTCAAATATGTATATTTTTCGAATTTAAAGCTTATTTTTAACGCTTTTCATAATTATAATCGTATTTACGAAGTTATAGAATATTATTCGGTAAAACAATTTATTTAAAATGAAAATTAATTAAAAGATCATTGTTACTAAAAGATTAAAAGATCAAAGTTACTAAAATTACTTATTAATGTGTCTTACATATAACGATTTAATTGATAATTAAATATAAATGATAATGATTTATAAAAGACTTTTCTCAATTCCGTGAGATATTTTTATTTCTAAACCGTTTACATCGCTACAAATTTTATATAAAACTATATATGATTTCTAAGATTTTAAGATGAAATTTTAAGATAAAGGGTGTGATTATTAATATTAATTATCATAGATTTGATCAATCCGTAGAAATGATCAGTTTTAATGAGATTATTTATTTTGAAATTGACATAATGTCAAACATATAATTGATTGTTATTTGATTAGGTTATTTTTTCTTTTTTTTGATTCAGTAATTCAGTAGAAGAATTGCAGTATCCAGAAAAAAAGTTCATAACATATCAAGTACCAACTTATACTGGCAAAGATCGTTTGGAATAATGGGGAAAGTCCACGGCGTATGGCGGTTGACCATTTTCGCTGACCCAAGCCGCTTGATTTTTACCCTTCTGAATAAGATCTAACATCGCAAGTGCCACATTGTCGGTTGTCTGTGTCGAATATTTCTTCAAGTCGATATCGTTGCCCACAGCGCTGACAGAGTCACAGATTTTATTGTCGAGGTTCGTGATTAACGCTGTTGTTGTAACGCCTGGACACATGATAACCACTCGCACTCCAGTCTTGTCGTACATGCTTGCCAGAGATTGGCTAAATCCCAAGACAGCAAATTTCGAAGCGCTATATATTGGCAAGGAATCAGCTGGGTGCAATCCAAATATGGATGCAATGTTCACGATTACACCGCCCTTGCCGCCTTTATGCTTCCCCATGTAATCAAAGGCCAACATAGAGCCGCGAATTAGTGCCTTGACATTGAGATCGATCGTTTCCTCCAAAAATTTATCGTTCAATATACCAGCGTTGTTAATAAGAATATCAAGCCCTTCGAATGTGTCGATGATCTTTTTGAACGTCTTCAATAAATCGTCAGCCTTTATCACGTCGCAGGCAACGAAAATGGCACGACCCTTTCCAAATTCGTTCTCCAAAGTAACCACCGCATTCTGGCCATTCGATATTGGCAGATCGACAACGGCAACACATCTTGCACCATTACGTAACAGTATTTCGGCGTATTTGTAACCTATTCCGTTAGCTGCTCCAGTGATCATTACAGTTTTATTCTTTACGTCGTACATTATTTTGGTTTCTTGAAACCTTCTATGAGATGTGATACTTCTGCGAAATGTAAGAGTTCTTTAACGAACTGTAATTGATACTGTCTTTTTAAATAGAGTTCATGCTGTTTAATATTCCTTCTTATCAGTGTTATGAATAATTCAACAGCAAACTTGTTGGTGGGAAATAATCATCTCTTATTTTTAAAAATGCAATCTTAATGACAATAGAACTTATGATAATAAGTAGAACTAATAATAGATAGATATCGATTCGACGTCGATTCCATTGTCATTTCTCACTGGGAAGGTCATCAAAATAATTTTGATATTCAAATGTATATGTATATATTACATGTAAGTTATAAATAGCAATATTAACCGCCGAAAATATTGGATTTTAAAGACATAGTCGATTTTTGGATTGATTTCTGATAGATAAATCTATAACAAAACTAATGAAATACAGTCCTAAGTATATAATAGCAAAAACTTGTTAAATCTTTCACAAGTGTATTTTTTCAGATTTTTATACAGTCTGGAACAATATAAAAATCTGTACTGCGAAGTTCGAAAACCTAGGTTGCGATGAAAATTTTATATGCTCGACGGAGAGTTTTATATATAAGTACCCTCATTAATCTAGGCCCCCATCATCGCAAATCTAATTCGAAACTGGTAAAAAACTTTAGTGTTTTTATTTGCTAATTTTTTCTTTAGTAAACTCCAAATTTTTTTTCCTCAAACTGTTTAGTAGGAAATCGCGTTAAAAATGGGGGAAGAGGCAGTTTCCCATAAGCTCCCCATAAGTTCCCCATAAGTTCCCCATAAGATCTCCCATACTGAAAAAAATATATCTAGTATCACAAAATCAAGTACACGTAAAAACGTTTCGGACTTTAGCAAAAAATTAGTTGAATTTTTAACTGAAGAAAAATATATCTTCAACCTTATGATCTTGTAACGCTGCAAATCTAAGTCTGTCTAGTAAATCTAAATAAATGCATTCCACTTTTGTTCAAATTTGACATAAATGTAAATGTAGGAAAAATATTTCACTTTCTATTTTTATTCATTAGAGTATTTCATTAATGTTCATTAATGTTAGTTCTAAGGGTAGTTTGTCCCTTTAATCTTCATCGTTTTATTATCTGTAAATAAAATAATAATATATACATATATGAAAGACATAATTTAATACAAAAGATAGAAGTTATTATGGATTGCTGATTACAAATATAAGATCAAATTTGCAAAATTTCTTGCTTAAATAAAAAAATATTTAAACAAACTAATAACAAGTTTTACGAATATGATGCCATGTTTAAAAAGTTATTTATTCGAATAACTCTTACAATACACATACTTATATGTACTGTTTTTCTTTTTAAATTTTCTTAGTAATGTGTTTATATATTATATAATCCTTAACTTTTAGACCGCCGATATGATGCTATATGGCGTTATATGCGATGACTCGTACACATCGAACAATGTATAATAGACATATTATACATATATGAATCATTATAGGGCTTTATGAGGGAACTATGCATGATTTTGGATTTTAAAATCTCGACACGAGATCTAAAGATTAAAATTAAAGACAGAAAGTGAGAAAGAATTTCAAGACAGAAAGTGAAAACATTGTTATATTAACACTGTATTATTGTATTAATTATTACAAATATATGATTAATTCAATCACAATGTCATTGTTTGCTTAAAAATGGATATAATTTTATAATTGATTTGATAGCCGTCGTGTAAATTGATCAAAACAACATAAAGCAAGCTATCAAATATTAATTTATACAGGCAAAGATTGCTTGGAATAATCGGGAAAGTCCACGGCATATGGCGGTTGATCATGTTCGCTGACCCAAGTCGCTCCGTTTTTACCTTTCTGAATGAGATCTAACATTGCAAGTGACACATTGTCTGCTGTTTGTTTCTGATAATTATCCAAATTAACAGCATCACTCCCTAACACAGCGCGAACGGAGTTACAGATCTTGTCACTGACGCTTGTAATCATTGGTGTTGCTGTAGCACCTGGACATATAATAACCACTCGCACTCCAGTCTTGTCATACATACTTGCCAGAGACTGGCTGAATCCCAGAACGGCATATTTCGAAGCACAATACATTGGAATAAAATAAGTTGGTGTCAATCCAGCAACAGATGCAACATTTACAATTACACCTCCTTTACCACCTTTATGCTTTCCCATATAATCAAATGCTAATATAGAGCATCGAATTAGTCCCTTGACATTAAGATCGATCGTTTTCTCCCAATAGTTATCGTTAAATATACCAGCATTGTTGATAAGAATATCAAGTCCTTTGAACGCGTCGATAATTTTTCTGAATGTTTTCTCTAAATCGTCAGCCTTTGTTATGTCGCAGGAAACGAAGATAGTACGACCTTTTCCAAATTCGTTTTCCAAAGTAGCCACCGCATTCTGGCCGTTCGATGTTGGCAGGTCGACCACAGCAACACTCTTTGCATTATTGCGAAGCAGTATTTCGGCGTACTTATAGCCTAATCCTCTGGCTGCTCCAGTAATCATTATAGTTTTATTCTGTACGTTATACATTATGCTGACTTCTTGAAGCCTTGAATAAAACCTGAAATGCTTTTAGCAAGATGTGAGATTCTTTAGCAACTTATAATGAATGTCTGTGTAAAGATAGCATTCTTAATTTAATAGTTCTCCTTATCTTATCTTCTTATTTGATATCACTACAAAAATGAATAATTCATCAGTAGACTTAATTAATGCAAAATGATAAGATATTTTATTTAAATATATTCGTTTCGTTATCTCAAGGATAAAGGAGGATATTAAATTTGGTTGTATTTTGATCAAAATGGAAAAGTTCCGAGATGTACAAAAAATTATATAAGATATTAGGACTACGCGGAGTCGAGTGGTAAAATATCGTAAAAAGCAATGTTATCCACAGCAATAAATTTAATGTTATTACATATTTATTGATAAAAAATTGTTAAGGATGACATCAAGACATTTACAGAATTAAGTAATATTGTATTGTTGCAACACGGTAACTTGGAGGAGATTTTCAAGCGAATTAACAAGCGACGAAGAGTTTGATGAAAGTAATCGTTTGATATATCTATGTGTATTTAAATATTTACAATACAGGTTCTATTGTTTAATTCTCGGAACATCTTGCTATCTTACTTAAGAACTTATAGGTTGATTGCTATTGATATGTATAATTGATATGTAACGATTTCTTCCGTGTTCCCGATGTTTCCCCAAGATAAGCAATATACCATTCGACTCGCGCTTAAATAACTCTTTAATATAATATATAATCTATTTTGAAACTTTTTTATTTTGACCGAAAAACAATTAAAACCTAACATCCTTCTTTAAAAGCTGATGAAAAATTATCGTGTGAATTAAGGGTTAATATTATCGTAGATGTGATCAATTATATAATGTCATATTGTTTATTTTAATATTGACAATTTCATACAAATAATTGATTTGATAGCCGTAACGTAAATTGATTTAAATAAAGTAAGATAAATTATAACTCAGTCGACATAAACTAAAAGTAATATAATATCAATGTTATATAATTTCGTACTTCACAATATATTAAATGTAATATAACATATGGTGTTACATAACAATTACACTGTGGAGTGGGAAATTATAACATTGATGTTATGTTACTTTTAGTTTGTGTCGATTAAGAAAATATCAACTTATACAGGCATATAGTAGATCGCTTGGAATAATGGGGAAAGTCCACGGCGTATGGCGGTTGATCACCTTCGCTGATCCAAGTCGCTCTGTTTTTACCCTTTTGAATCAGATTTAACACCCCAAGTGCCACGTTATCAGGTGTCTGTTTCGGAATGCTCTCCATAACAGCGATCTCGTTGGTTAGTATAGGAGCTATAGATCTTACTGCTGATATGTGTGACTAATGGTGTTGCTGTAATGCCTAGGCACATGATAACAACTCGCCCTCCAGTCTTGTCATACATACTTGCCAGAGATTGGTTGAATCCTAGAACGGCATATTTCGAAGCGCCATACATTGGAAAAAAATAACCTGAAAAAAATTTTTGTGAGAGCCGAGTTAGATATTTTATGTTAATATATAATTTACTATAACTTTTAGTATTAATGTTATGAGTAACAATGTCAGCATCAAATATTTGTGTACGACAAAAGATTTATATCAAAATAATTTTCAAATGTGAGCGTCTTTAATTTATTTAATAATTTGAAGGCATAATTTGACATTTTTGTAACATTGAAAATGATCTATTATTGAAAGTTCGAAATGTTTGTTGGTATATTTAATATTACTATTAAAATTAAAGTAAATTATACATATATTAGCATAAAACATCTAGCTTGTCTCTTATAAGTTCTTTTTTATGATATTTAAATTTATTTATATAATCCTGTGTGTGCTTACAATTTAAATTAAATTTTAAAATAACCTGGATCTAATGCAACTGTGGATGCAATGTTCACGATTACACCACCCTTGCCGTCTTTATGCCTCCCCATATAGTCGAATATCAACATAGAGCTGATATTGAATTAGTGCCTTGATGTTGAGATCGATTATTTCATCCATACAGTTATCGTTAATTATACCAGCGTTATTGATAAGAATATCAAGCCCTTTGAATGCGTCAATGATATTCTTGAATACCTTCTTCAAATCGTCAGCTTTCGTCACGTCGCAGGCAATGAAAACGTTGATTTTCACGATGTCTTCAGCAGTTAGAAAACATCATACCGCACCGTTGTTCTTCATGAAACCAATTTTCCAGTTGGAACACCATTTCATCGCTTGAGCAAACTGGATGGTAAAGCAATTAATTGTGCTCATTATCAATGTCTTTTATCACATGATATCACATACACGTATTATAACAGCATATGTAACATAAAATATGCATAACAGGCTTTGATACCTTGCCGGAAGTAACTGTCACAACGCTTGTTATCTTTGCATTTGATCAAATTATACATTCTTATTAATTTTTTCTTATTATATTAAAATAAGAAAAAAAATATATATATATGTTGTGAAACATATAAT